GATTTCAGATATAGGCCGATATAATAAACGACAATAAATCACACTCAAACTTGTTGTCGGCAGTTTGCCGACAGCAATTGGCAATTAATGGCAGGCTGCACAGACAACGCATCATGTCGCATCGTATTCTAAGCTTAAGTTAATAATCTTACACAGCTTCTACGCACAACAATATGAATTTTAAGGAACTGCATGCAGAATTTTACATTCATAGTCATCTGAACNAGCGAATCCAAATCGAATCCCAGAATGCTCGTCTTTCGAGTTTCCATCGGACGATTACTGGAAATGCCACGCAAGATTCTACACAATGACGATCTACCATGCGTGTGGGACTTGCAAGATGGGTCCAGCGACTGACAAGATGGCCGTCGTGGATCACAGACTTAAAGTACACGGAATTAAGGGACTGCGAGTGGTTGACGCGTCGATTATACCGAATATTACCTCTGGAAACACGAATGCGCCGGTTATTATGATTGCCGAGAAAGCTGCAGACATGATCAAGGAGGACTGGAAATAGTACATATAGATATTATAGATTGAGCTTGACCGTATCGAATTGTCGAAATGGAAAATCTTGATGCTAAAGAAAATCTTGATGACGCTAAAGAAATTGTGATTTCTCGAAGAAATTTTCTATACTGTTTTCAATTACACATGGTCAAAGCTCAAATGATAAAGTGATATCTTGCTTCAATATTTAAAAAGCCGTTCTATTATTTGATTTTAATAAATTGCATTCTAATAAATAATCTCATAATATGGGTGAAGGTAATAAATTATTATAATATTTCAAGAAAATATTTTGGTTATAGCAGTTTGTTAATTGCAAATTACTGCATCTTTATTAAATAATGAAGAAATCGATATATTATTCTATTATATCAAGAAAACAATCTGATTAATGATAAACTTATTGTTTGCAAGCTATCCCACAGTTTAAGACGTAATATTTTGTTTCAATTAGTAAAATTTGTTCCTGACATAATAAAGGATTGAAAATAAACTAAACTGTCATGTAAAGATGACTACATTCGTTTACGTTGACCTGTCCGTATTTGGAAGTGATTTTCATGTCACAGAATTCATTTTTATAACGAATTCTTCTACGATAATGCCTAGGACAATTTGAACCAATTTCAATTACACAATTGGTGGCGATCGAGGTTCAAAGGGAATTTATTTAGTTTATAACACGGTAAATTTTGAAAAGGAAGAGAAATCGAAAATGTATTCTGATTTACAATTAATAAGTTAATGCAAGTTGACAAAGAATAATACAGATTTGATGAAGTTAATCATTACTGTTTCTATTACCAAACTATGCCTTTTAATTAAAAGATTTCTTTTACAAATCGAGAATATTTCTAACTTTTTTTTTTACTTAGTATGAAGTATTTTTATTTCGAGATTAATTTTTGGTAACATTGAAATTTCATTATTTAAGATTCGAATCTTTTGAAATCGAAGATCGATAAATGGAAATCTCTTTAATGATGTGTCGGAAGCGCCAGCATCTTGATATATGTATACGTCAATAAAATATTTGAATTAATATCATACAATGTTTGAAATTATAATTTAAAAGGAAATGATTGAACTTCTTTTACATACAGCACAATTATCAAAAAGCCTGTAATAGTTTGCTTGCAACTAAAGTGTTAGACAATTAGAAACATTCGTATTAATTTCAACGAATTTCAAGCTATTCTGCGAGAAGAATTATTTTAGATGTCAGTTAGACTATTTTATATAGTTGTTTAATATTTCCTTATTCTTTTAAAAAACATCTTTTCTTCATCTCATTGGTCTTGACGTGTTTTAGCAA